TATCAATTAAATTGAATGAAGAATACATACCAAGAGATCATGAAGATACTCGGTAGACCGACGAAGGACAGAAATTGTTGCCTTGTCGGGATTGTTCGTCTTCTTGCCTTTGTACGAAGCAAGTAGCTGCTGCAAAGCACCCAAGTGGGGCTCAGCAACTCGAGCAATGTCAAGATCCTTCTTGTGGTGGATAGGCATGCTAGGATGAACGATAATGGATGTTGATGGAACTTTGTATGGAATGAGAGCTCGACTGAGTTCGACTAATGCAAGTCGACTTGGAACGAATGGCATATTGATAGTCAATTGGCCTGAGATTTTATACCGAAACAGTGAAATGAAGCTCCTGACCAAATTAGGACAACTGAGGACAGTTGGATTCTTTAGTTTGGGGGAGGAGGATATCGATTTAATTGAAAATTTTACAAAATTTCAATTAGACTAATAGTTTTGCAATCAGATTGAATGGTATTGCGAACGCAGTGACCCAGAATTGATCAAAGTGATCATACAGAAGGTCAAAATAAGCGGAATGAGTAAGGAACTGCGCTTAGAACCTGAAAGTGGAGTTGAGAATACCTCCCGAAGTTGTTATGATCAACGGCGAACGGAGATCGACTTGAATACTCAGGACAATGAAGACAGTAAAGTCTTGCGGTCCTGATCTCGCATGAAAATTCATGCCAGGATCCGGAATGGAGTCTTACTTGGAACCCCTATTCAAAGGTGGAACTCAGAATTGGCTCGATAATTCGCAAGCACTCATTCGGATGAAAACATGAATTGAGTGAACAATGTACCTATTCATTCAAATTAATAAGAATGATCAAGTCCAGCTCCTCAATCAAAGTAAATGGGATAAACAAAGTATTTTGCCTAGAACTTAGTTTCACTCATTTAAATTAATATGAAAATGAGCATGAGAGCTCGTAAATTGATATGTACAAGATAGCAAATGGCTATCCACAAAAGAGCAATAGGTAAAGCTACCTACAAGAAATACAAGAAAAGATACAAAAAAAAAAAGATATTAGATTAATAAAATCTAATTAAAACGAATTGGTCTCGAGCGACCGGTGGTCCTGAAAAGGTCCATAGATGAGATTTGGGTTAAGAAACCCAGACGATACGACCGCGAGTGGTCAGCTATAATGAGATATATGGGCATGGAAGCCCGTCCGTGTATGACAAAATTAAAATAAAAAAAAAAACATTTAAAAGGAAACCCACGTCGCGAATCACCCGATTAACCTGCATCAAGTCCTGCATCGTGAAACGAGCATTCTGAGTCTCCAAAATGGAGCCCAGCTCGACGAAGTCAGGATTGATAGCAAGCAGAGGGTTTTCTCGAGTTAAAGCAGCGCTATTCTATTAAATTAATAGAGTTAGCACTTGGAATGAATTAAATTGAATAACAACAACTTACCCTGGCATGTGCAAACTTTGGAAAAGGTGTGAAGGCACCAGTTGACTGCTCTGGAAGTCGTAGTCGTCCTTGAGCATCCGCTAGTAGTACCGGTTGGAAGGTACTCTCTGGGGAACGCTCGGGAACGGGCTTCACCGCAGCCTTAGAAACTCGTTTGGGAACGGACACCCGTTTAACTGAACGACGAGGTAGCGAAGCTACAATCAAATTGAATTAAAACATGAGAAGAGAAATGAAGAATGAAATTTTACCAGAGATGGAAGATGTCGTTTTGAGGCGTTTTGGAGGAGGCGCAGAGTCCTCCTCCTCATCCTCGTCTTCTTCCTCGTCTTCAGACTCTACTTCATTGGAAGCAGAGTCGTCTTCAGAAACGACTACTTGTCGGGACTTGCCTTTTGCGGTAGCTGGCGCGATTTTCCTCGAACGAGGGGGAAGACGGACCCTTTTGTAAGCCATACCCGCAGGAGAGGAAATAGAAGCTTTAGAATCTTCAACTACTTTGATGGTAGTCTTGGATTTAGGCTTCTTGCTGTCCACAGGAACCTTAGTAGACGTGGAAGTTCGAGGAGCTGGGTCTACAGAAGGGGATCCTCTTAAGAGCTCATTATCGGAGTCTTTTGAATGGATGGACTGGGGAGAAGCAACTGAAGACAAACAAAATGAATAATCAAATAGAAATGAAGAAATTAAAAAGATACTCACGAAACGAGGAAGCGTCAGCCTTGAGGCTTTCGATTTCCCGATTTCTTCGAAGTGCCCTGGGGGGCACAGCCTGTGCTTTGTTGGCAGGGGAAGGCGAGATTAAATCGGGAACCTTGGGAGAGGAAACAGTTTTCGGAACTCCAGAAAGAGCATTTCGGCCTCGAAGTGAGACAAATGGGTCTAAATCCGTAGACGAAACCATGCGCATCATTGCGCTTCCCTCACGAAAACGCAGACAAAACGGAATTGGAAGGGCAGGGAATCGTTCGAATTTGGGAACACCCTGTAGATGAAACGGAATGAGAATAAAAAGAATTCAATGGGAAAGAACACTTACTCCAGCTGAAGACCGATGCTCAGGTGGAACCCCCCATTGTTGCGTCAGGTTGTCACGAAGAAAAATGGGAAGACCAAGAGATAGGGATTCTGCCGACAATAGAACCTGCTCCGCGAATAAAGGGCAATTAGCCCGACCGATCCAGAAGTCCCGGATATAGACCTAATGAGAACCATTAATATAACGATGTAGGAGGGATTTTCAGTTTACGTACCAAAAATGGTGCAGCCTCCTCAAAAACATCGTAATCTCCCGAGGACTCTGTGGAAGGAGAATCGTCCGTCAAAACCTGCAATGTTCGAACTGCCATTTGGGCAGAACAATACAAATCCAAGCCTGATGCTACCGACAAAGGGCGTAAAGTTTCGAAAGGGAAACAGAATGGAACTAAAGAGCGGGGATACGAAAAAGCGGGGAAGGGACCAGATCCATCGTAATCCGGAGAGTTATTTGAATCAATGATAGGAGGGGAGTAATCGCCTTGTTGAAGTCGTTGAAATACAGCGCTTTCAAAGAAAAGAGGCAGAGTGGATTTAAACGAGATACCCGCGAGCATCACCTGAGCTTCCATTAGAGAGCATGGTAAACGCGTGGTTGTGGCCGAAGATCGAGTTTGACTCGAGGTCGAAGCCATTTTGACGAACGAGATGAAAGAAAGGAATAAAGAGGGAAAACGGACTTCAACGAAAAATTTCATTGAACCCCGTGCCCCGAACCAAATAAAGGTACACACTGAATCAGTGTGTACGTCAGAGCAGTTCTCCGTGAAATGGAAGCTTGTTCTGTGACTAGATGATAAAAGATTGTGAATTAAAAATTCGAAATGTGATAGGAATACCAAAAAAGTATTCAATTCAAATTGAGCGCTAAACTGTTACGATTCGTAGCAGGCGTGTGAATAAATTGATAAGATGAGCGCTAGAAACCCATTTGAGGGCATCCAAATTGATTGGAGAGCACGGAGAAGTAGAGATCCAAACCCAGTGAATTACATTAAAAGGAGATATAGTCTTGTCGAATCAATCTAATAACAGATTGGGTATCCTTTCCCGATACAAAACTACGAATGACCGAGGACGGTCAAATTCTTTAGTTTGGGGGGGATGACACGCCTAAATTTTGGCTAGACGTCTATGCTGTGAATTGTGACATTTTCACGTATAGATTTGTATCAAGAGGACTGTAATTGAGACCCAGATTGACAGTCAAAGTCAATACTGAATCAGTCTAATAAGTTGAAGGGACCATATACCCATACTACCACAAGTTGGTTAGTTTACCCATCCCCGATACTACCTACGGATAGCAGTCTACCTGTTTGTCAAGCAGGATTATACCAGACTCGGACTACATCCGAAGGATGACCATTCACGTATGACATACCAAGGGTATTCTTATTGGACCTTACACTGGCAGGAGTTTGGAAGAACTTACTCAAGTGACCATGAACCGAGGATTGACTCGAAATGACTTTCTAGAACTCAGGAATTATCAAATACTCCTTCTAGAACAAGATCATGCATTAATCTAAAGGACTGCGATTTAGTCTAATAGACCAATCAAGTTGCATGGTTGAGGAAAATGACTAGAAGAATGATCGAAGTACTGCGAGGCTCCGAAGACATATCAAATGAATGTCAAAGAGTCCTGACGTAGAAAATATTGAAGAATGCAATTAAATGAATACTATGTGTAACTCCCTTGATTGAGTATAGGCACAATGGGTGTCTATTGAAAGAGAGAAGCAATTAGTTTAATCCAGATGGATCAGATTGATGGGATTAGAATCGAGGAGAGCTGATTTGCCTCCGGACGAGGTGACAAACGATCAAATACCTACCTATGTTTGGAGGTATACTAGAATCTTGGAACCAATATGGACCAAATAAGGACATGTAGATTCAAATTAAATGGTATCTGACTGAGTGTAGAAGTTTCCTTGCGGTTCCGAACGTTTATTGTATTAAATTAATTGTACTATGCGACTCTATATTCTGTAGGTATAAATAGCGATCCGATGTATCTGGAATACAAGTGATTTTGGGACGACGTTGCAGTGCTAATCCGTAAAAAAGGAAAGACACACTCCCGCCAGACTGAAACCTCTTCGCTAGCAGCCATTCGGGCCCGGCACTTGTGAGTATAGGAACGTCGTGTTCTGCTCCTTGTGACTGCGAGAAGTCTATCCAGTTGTTGGGTATTCTTCGAACTTAGGATCAGTCGTTGGTCTTAAGGGCAAATCACGCTGTGTGGTTGTGCCAGCACATAGTTCTAGCCCTCTGTAGGGGTCTGTGTGTTTCGGTTTTAATTTACTTTGATTCAAACCCCCAATTCTTGATATACCCAAATCAATACAAACCAAAGCACAAATTGTGCTGAATCTACCTTGATCAAAGGAATATATCGAATCCTTAGAACGATTCAAATTGATTGATCAAAGCTTCGTACTTAGCTCTCAAAGCTTTGCGGAACCTTTGCCAACGCTACCCCTTGCTATTAAATAAATTTGATAGCAGTGAACTCGCATATTGTGTATTAGATTGGTTGGTTGGAGTGCCCATTAGATTCCTTCCTTTCTCTTTCACACAAAAACGAGGCAAGCTCGTTATCGCTTGTATGTGACCTAAACGGAGTGGTCTGTAGTTTTGTCGGTCCATAGCTATCGCCGCTTGCACGTTTTGATCCCTTCAAAAAGTATTTCGGGGCAGGTGCAGAAAATTTGAAAGTAACGGGTGTAGCTCCTCTTACTTCGCCAGCTGTGGCGGAGCCTGCTCTCAGAAAATTTGTCAGTACAGGTCTTTTCGCGAAGGGCTAAAAGACCCGGACTAGCATGTTTCTCGTCCCGTTGTTTGAGGGCTCCCTTCTGGGGTGGGGGCGTTTTTGCCCGCCCTCGCGTGTTCCTATCTCAATCTCAGTATCTGGCTGCGACAGGAAGCCAATACAGATGGACATACACCTCTTCCGCATTGGAATTAGGATTATCGACAATCTTCTGGATAATCCCATCGTCGTCCACCCCATAACGGTAATAGTCGTGGGTTTCCCTTCTGTACCAACTCAATCGACGGGGCTTGTGAACAGTCAGCGAATGGTCAGTCTTGGTTGTCTAGGCCAAAGTTAGAATGTCCTCATACCGTCGAATCATGGGTTCCGTCGTCGGTGGCCTCGTCTGGTTCCATTCTTGAAAGTATCAGTCCAACTGTAGATGTTTATAACCAGGTCCATGGAGCTCGAAAAGTGCTCATCGCAACACGTGAACTAAACTCAGCGCTAATCCCACAAGCGGAGTCGTACTGCCATTAGAAGGATAACTTCTGTTATCGACTGAATGATGCCTACGATAGGCAATTATCTTCCTATCAATATTCAGGTTCCATGTCGCACCACGACATGATGCACGAAATTTGCCGATGCAGGTTGATGGCTATCGTCCCTGAATCGATAACACAGCTGTGAGTGCCACCGTCTTGTACAGATTTTTGCTCAATTCTCACCTTTGTGTTCGCACTATTCTATTCTACCAGAAATTTCGTCTTCGAACCAAACTCGATTGTGGTATGGCTCGCCGCCGTAGAGATGGTTCGGACGAACAGCCGTGTCGATGTCAAGAATGTTTGAAGCACAATCCGGAGGGATTACTAGTTTCATCGTCTACTTTGAATGCACATCGACATCGGGAGCGTCTGCGAGCCGCTTTCTCCGGTGTCGAAAATCCAGAATCAAATCGAACAGACGAAAAAAACAATTCAGAGAGCATATCCAGTGGAAGTGCCCAGCCGGGTCCCATGCCACATATTCCTTCTCCTCCGCCTCTTTCGGTGGAAATGGAAGAAAACGAAAACTGGCTGCGATCAATTGTATCTGAGAAAGATATCCGTCTAGAAACTCTATATGATTCGGAGACTCATTTGGAATTCATTAATCATCCTTCTCCTAACCTATCCTTTGTCTCTCCGGATCCAGAAACCTTACTTCATGTTAACTCCGGAGATTTCAGTCTCAAGACAACCAGCACCCGTAATATGCGATTCTTGGAGACGGAGGCAAGACTTTGTGGCCTACTGAAGCAAATTCAGGCCCTTCCACCGGCAGTACGTTCGATAGGAGAATTGGATGTGGAGAATGAACTGTACACGGCATTAGACAAAATCCATCGCTTCAAAGGTAGACAGTGGAAATTGCAAGCCTATCCTAACGGCATTGGGGGTATGACAGTCAACAATAGTATGTGAATTTCCAATATTTTCTCCTCTAGTGTTTGAACCCCCGTTAGCTCGTCATTTTACAGCTCACAAGCCAAACCCTGATATAGCGCCAATATTTATTGCTGCCTTGATTATATATATCAAATTTCAAACCCCCGTTCGCCAGATGCGAGTCATTCTGGCACTATTACGCTGTATCATCAGAGCGTTGAAGAGAAACCTTGTTGATTCGCACCTTTCTTCGCAGATTCCAATGGATGTCCACACTATCATCGATTGCTATGACATCGATCCCACCTTGCACGCTTTCGTTGCATGCCCCACCTGCTATGCGCTGTATCCTTTAACAGACGAAGCGCTAAAGAATGCAGAAAGTGTCTTCCAAGCAGATCAACCTCTTCCCGTATGCGATGAGAGGTCTCACCCAGACTCAGCGCCGTGTGGAACAACTCTTTGGAGAACTCGTCGCATTGACCATCGAACGTTTGTTACCCCCATACGAAAACAGATTTTTCAGGATCTGAAGGAATGGATAGGAAGAATTGTGGCCACTCCGGGCATTGAAGATGCTATGGATCAACATCAGCAAAGCTCGCCTCCCGCAGATGGCGATCCAGAAAGAGATTTTGTGGATTCCACAACATTTCGCCAATTCAAGGGCGCGGATGGCGAGCCATATGCAATACCTCAGGTGGGCCCTTCTGGATCGCCGGACCTGCGACTCGTGACAAGTCTAGGATTCGATGCTTTCAATCCGTTCCACTCCAAGACAGCGCATGCAATAGTCCAATCCACAGCTCTATACATGGTGATCCTGTCTTTGCCAGAGCACCTTCGATATCGACCCGAGAACATGTATCTGCTCACTGTCATGACTGGAAAACCTAGCCAGCATCATATCAACTTCACCCTACGTAAACTGGTGAAGCAACTACTTCCTTTCTGGGAAGGACTGTTCTACGTACGCACCGCACGCTATCTTCTCGGGCGAAGAGTATTCATAGTGCTCATTCCTGCCGTATGCGACACTGAAGGTGCACATCAGCTTTCGGGATTTGCTTCGCATAGCCATACATACTTCTGCAGACGATGCCTATTACAAATCGGTGACATTCACAATCTTGTACCGGAAACATGGATCATGCGCGACCCCGCTCAGCATAGAGAGCTAGCTCTCAAATGGAGAGAGGCTTCAACGGAAGAAGAACGCCAGAAAATTTACGATGAGCATGGAATTCGATGGTCAGAGCTCTTAGAGTTACCATACTGGGACCCTGTTCTTTTCACGATCATCGACGACATGCATTTTGCGCAGCTGGGGCTCTTTGAAACTCATCTTCGTGACATATGGCAAATTGATCACGAAAAACCCGGCGGTGATGGTCTTTATCCGGAAGTCAAAGACCAACAGAAACTTTCCAAAGCCAGCCTGCGCAATCTCCTAAACGAAATCCGGGAAAATCGAACAACCTTACAGAAGCGCTTGCAGGAACAAAAGAAAAAAACTCTTTGGTATATTTGTTTCAAGCTTGGGCTACGCACTGGGGTCCGGAAGAAGAAATCCTTGGTAGACCAAATACTAACATGGGTGGGTCTTGCCTCGATTATTTAGGTGTATTCATTATGATGCTGCTGTCTAGCGTTGGAGATCCGGACCGGCCAATGTACCTAAAGTTCCTCCGCTGAACTATAATGATGTCCCGGATGCCTGGGAAGGCGATGTATATATCTTTTATCTGCGCGTGCAACTTGATCACCTAACCTCGGAATACAGGATTTCGATGTTGTTTCGGATTCCGATGTTGTTTCGGATTCTGGGGTTTCTGACGCCGTATGCTTAATCTTGTTTTTCAGATTACCTACTCACTAAACAATCTGACATAGTCGTTTGGTTCGAGAGCCTCATCGGCACCATTGGTGCTGCGCCCTGCACCAAGCTTTGCTTTCAACAAAGACTCTGCTTTCGAGAAACTCAAATCAAAAACGCTCGACTTCTCCGGCAAACCTCCTTCGCTCAGCAAGCCCAACCTTCAGACTCTCAAAGCACTATGTCAGGATCTGGGCATTCATTACAATTCGATTGATAGTAAACGAATACTCGCTGCACGAATCATGGACTACGTGTGTCTTTCTTTGAGCTTTATGATACACCTCTGATAGCGGTGGGACAGCGTAAAGAAAATGGGTCAAATGATCCAGTGCCGGTTTCGAAATTCGACTCACTGGTTTATGACAAGATCAAAGCCAAATTTGAAGTGGAGGAGCCCACGAGAACCACGTTGATGAACTATGAGTACACCTACCTCGAGCGCTTATGCAAAGACTACAAGGTTCCACCGTTTGCTACTTCCGATCCCCCTCATTCGACCGTGACCAAAGATGATCTGGGACGAAGATTGTTACTCTGGGTGAGCCACCACTATCATTGAAATAACATCGACGTTCCGATCGTTGTTAGCGTCAGGAGCATCGTGACACTCCATTGAAACAGACCCTACCTTGACATGTTATTGGCAGGGATCTGCTGGAGGAAGTATGGGCGGACATGAAGCGAACCGTTTTACCCACTTGGATTCAAGCGCCGCCCCCGAATTGGGGGACCCCTGCGCAAGGAAAGCTTAGTGCTGAGGAGTATAAAGTCGTGTGCTCAATCTCACTGGTCATTACACTAATCCGGGTATGGGGATATGGCACTGAAGATGCTCAGTCACGTCGTTTTCAGATGTTGCTAAACTACCTGGACCTTGTTCACGCCATTCATGTCCTTCTGCTCTGTGAAACATCTTGGCAGTCAAGGGAATATTACAGATCTCACATGCAGAGATATCTAGAAACTGTCTTGGTGTTGTATCCTGATTTCACGCTGAAACCTAACCACCATTTCTCACTTCATGTTGTCACTGACCTGGAAACCATGGGACCAGGACATGCTCGCAGTACCCCAGTATTCGAGCGCATCAACCACTCTCTACAAGAACTCAATGCAAATCAACACTTGGGTGACTTTTTGGTTGTTTATCATTGGCGAATATTTTAGTGACGGTTCATTTCAGGTGAAGTCGAAGCTACCATGTTGACTGCCTATTGCCGGCAAGCCAACCTGCAGTTGATCTTGGATCACAACGCCGATGTACGACAAGACGTTGATGAAGCCCTGAATGCTCTGAAAAATATTGAACGCGAGGATCATCGCGGAATGTTCGCTGGAACTGACCTCTCGGTTTGGTCAAGCACCGAGTTCAAGGCCACTCCCTGTTGGATTCAACACTCTACTTTGGATCGCATAACAGATCACCTATGTGGGATATATGATCTTCCTCGCTCCTATTGGAGTTCCACGCTGACTCGTCAGGCCTATAATTTGGCGGGTGTTGCAATCGGGCGAGTGATTTATTCTCATAGAGTTCGCCAGAATTCTGTCGTTTTTTGCCATGATGGAGCATTCCTTGCTGGCACAATTGACGAGGTCTTCACTCACTCCCATCTCCACCCTGTCACCCAGAAAACACGCAAAATCACTTATCTCGAAGTTTCGGTCTTGGAGGCTATCAACGAACAAAATGACTTATATCGGAAGCTTCACTGTGGATGGTTGTGTTTGCGAACTTCCACTATCGCGAGAACTCTCACTATACCGCTGTCAAGTATAGTCTCGCACTTCGTCAGGACAGAGTTATCACTTTCTATAGAAGGAAACCTGGTCACGCATGTATACCCTGTCCCCAAGGTAAGTAGAATTCGGTCTCTCTAGATCTCCGTTGATCACAATTCATGGCATATCACTAGGTGTTCTTTGACAATGAATCAGCTATGCCAACCCCGACCAGTTGATTAAGAGACTGTCTGGTGTCTGTATGCCCTTTGTTCTAAAATGCGCCGTTGGCGTCCGCTTGTATTGTGAAGGGAATAAGAACAATAGCTCTTCTTTGTTCCGTCGATTGTATCTGTACTTGAATGGGATTCTTCCTCCTTTCTTATCTTTGCGTTTGTCAAGAGTTTTGACAAAATCGAATACCATATATAAGTCTTGAGGCTTCCTTCCTTGAAACACAACGCGTCCTTGAATATCCATGAACTCTGTAAGTGCTCCATTACCTTTGGATGAGTCTTCTCAAACTGCTACAGAAAGTTCGCATCGTATCATCCGACACCCAGGAATTGCGATTCCTGGAACAGCAGGTCGAGGAAAACCGTCGACAAGTTCTTCAACTACGTAGCGAGGCCGTGGCATTGCGCCAACAAGTAGAAGGTCCATCTCGAGAGACGTCAGAAGTCAAGGTACGTGCTGTTCCATCTTCTATCGACTGACACAAAATCTCAAAAGTTACTCAGATCGGCCCGAAACCTGAACACCAGGATTCCCTCGCTCGTTTAGAGAGGGCCAAGGCATTGACTCTGAGTTTCCGGACCCAGATATTGGCTTGTTTGGATTGTGATCTGAACGACGCCAGATACATGCATGGAATCACGACAAATGATGTTCGTATCAGTTTTCTCGCGAGATGTTGTCATTTATCAATATAACCATGCTATAGTCACAGCAATTCTGGTCTTTACTGGAACAAATCAAATCTTCGAGAGGTGAGATCGTCTTATCAAAAGCTCTGGTAAGCAATGTAATCACCATCTATGAATATCGCTTCGACGACTAAACAATTTCACTAGATGCACTCCCCTGCCGCAGACAATGTCCAAGATAGACCCCCATCGGAAACGACAGCGCTGTTAGTGGAACAATGCCTCGTACTTTGTGAAATGGCTGGGAAACTGAAGGGCTCTGGTCACGAAGATCGTCTTTTCCAAGAGTGCACTGATTTGTTTCACCGGGCACAGTGTCTGTAGAAAGAGTTTACATTGCACTTGAACCAGATTCAACTGATATAATTCAGACAAAATATGCTATGTAGAAGTGATATACTATGAGCAATACTGCGATCAACTCTCCGAAAACTGAGATCATTGACCACACGATTGAAGTACAGACAAAAGCGCCAGTTAGCATCGTGATATCTACAGCAATCTGTGAGATAGCGGAATCCTGTACAAAAGTAAGTAACAAGCGTAGATGATAAATTAGACATTACCATGCCCTCGACCGCGGCTAGAACTTGAACTCGTTTTGAGGTAGAGCGCTGGACGAGTGTGAATATAGCGACACCCGGAGTTACAAACCCGATAGCCACTGCATGCGGTTGATTCCGAAACATTGTGGAGACCTTCCACAGAAGTTTGATTGAAAACAGGACGTAGCTCAAGGTACCTGCGTTAAACAAGATTTTTGGAAGTGGGAAAGTATCTAACTGATGAATTATGAGCATCAGCAGCTATAAATCAATGAATGCAATCACTCACAGCGACAGCCCCTAAGGCAATGAAGCGATGGGCATTGAATCTTGGAATTTCAGAGATCTGATGAAAGGAATTCAAATCGAACGCAACGCAAGTAACTCGGTAACCTACATCATGATCATTGGGATTGTCGCTTTCGTCCTGCGGAGCCCCACCGAACCGACTTGTTTCGTTCTGATCTCATGCGACATGAACCGGTATCAACGACCAGAATAAAGATCCGCTCACTAGTTTTGGTGGCTGAAGGGCCTCAGTACTGTGGCTGGTTTCCGCCGCTTTCTGGAGTTTCGTGGATGTCTTTTTTGAGATTGCCATGAAGGTCCGGTTTGAAACCAGGACGTGGATAGATTGTTGAACCCTGAGCGTGAGTTCTAGAGTCTAGTTATAAACTAGTCCGGGCCGGCCACCCCCCCAGCCATGTGCTATGTGCATGATCATTGATCTCGTAATACAGACCATTAAATTATAACATCGAACTCTCCTACTTTTACCTTGGACGTTAGCAATGCTACAGAGTCAAACTCGATAGCAGCTAAAATATCATCATCGGCATCCAAACTCCAACCTCTAGACGATCTATCAAGCTTTTCTCTCTCTTTTCGAGCACAACTCAGGTTCAATGAGGAGAGACTCCCACTCTAAAACGAATCAAATTGAAGGTCGGTTCTTTCCCAGTCAGTTTGTGTTCCATTTCTTGCAATCAGGATAGTTTACTTGCTCCCTTCAGCACACAGAATCTTCTCCCGACAAACTCCTCTGTTTCCAATCACCCCTAGTATTTCTCTAACAAAGGTGCTACGCATGCAAGAGCGACGTTGAGGACCAAGGTAATCAGGGTTTCGGGGTATTCTACTACTCTCACAGTTGATCTCGACGCTTAATCATCTCATCCTCACAACTCATCATCACATCTTGTAAGTCACTGCCGGATTTACGAGATATAGACGAACATTCACGATGTCGTGAGCTTAACGTAGTTCTCACTCACGAAAATGCAGTATGCTTTCATGCCTTGCATGACCAGCCAACTCAATCGAGCAACCGCAGCATATCTCACAGATGCTACAGCAAGCTTCTGACACTCAAGGACAGTAAAAGAGTTCCCGGAAGAATCTTTGAATACCTCCCCGCGTATGTTTTCAATCACGTTTCTCTTTATAGCCTTGATGGTAGTACGCTACAATGTCATGATATTCGGGAGCGTTATTCACGCTGTTGGTAACATCGCGACCCAAGGAGTCCGACTCTCAACTGGTATCACTTGCCGCTTGAACTGTATCTGGTGTACGGTAAAATCAATAAGGTAGACATTGAACGGATGATTCGGAAATCGTGGAACTGAAATGTCCCTTTTAGAACGGTTTGAGACTAATGAATACGCAGGAGGGGATTGAAGATCGATTGAGATCAGAACCCATCGTCATACCGCTTTCTCTCTCTATCTATCTGAATCATCCGCCTTACCAATCCCATTCAACAATCGGTATTGCATTGACCGTCCCTCAATTCGTCTCCGTAAGCCGCTTTCAACACGCGCGCCAGTCCTCAATCGTCACTTTCACGCTACTTCTGGAACGCCGGTGCCCTTTCAGCTAATCATCTCGTTCTGCAAAACAAATCACCGACGATGAGCGTCTTCGGTGGCTCGTTGGAGTTGGAGAGCCAGCCTAAGTTGCGCTCCGTCTGGTACAGCGGAACCGGGTTCCATGACGAGGTTAGCGTTCAACTGCGCGAGGCTTATCTCCAGAATATCCACGAGGGAGATCGAATAGGGTATGGTTATTGGAAGTTGGGAATGACCACAAAATGTCTGTGTCCAAATGATGGACAAGCAGTTGAGAGTATTCAGTTTGCCATCCTGGTTGTGTTGTGAGTGCAATGTCCCAGATTTACCCAATGATATTAAGACCATCGTATCAGATAAGGATGATACTGTAAACGATGGGAACAGTACAGACAGTACTGCCACCATCGCAAAGCGACAGGTGATCGGCGCAGAGCGCGTCATCAGAGGTCCGCGCTATCAATTCCTCTATCCATCGCTCCCGCCACTTTTTGTTTCCCCGCGCCTTTCCTCGCGCCTCTTTTACTCCAGTGTTCCCGCGTCTCTCTGCACCCCACAGAACTCACTCATCGCCTCACAATATCCCTGCTTCCAGCCTCACTGCTCGCCTATCCAATCCCTCGCGACTCCCGCAGATGACCAGCCCGCGATCCTCTGGGCAATTGCGCGCCTTGTATGCTTCTCGAAGAGCGCGCGGCGTATCGTTAGCAGACGGGCCAGGATTTCTGTATGCGTTCGTTGATCACGGTCATCTTTGGAAAATCGGCATGTCCGACAATTACGATCGGCGGAGGGCCGAATGGGATCGTCAGTGCCCATGCTTTGACAGAATCTGGCTGCCTCCATTGCGCGTTCTGAGAAGAAGGAGATCCGGTACGATTTGCACTATTCAATCAATCTCAACGTACTCACCTGTTTTCAGAATGTTTAGCACATATTCTACTGGAGCTAAGGTGCCTCAATAGACCTCGCATCTGGTGCACACGATGTATGTATATCTTCCTTTCCATCATTCTATCTCAGTCTCTATTCCATTCAGGTGGAAGGCGTCACATTGAGAAATTTATCTTCCTCGGAAACTGGAGACGCGTTTGGCGAAGGGAAATTCGGCCAGTGCTTGTGCGCTGCACATCTTCATAAAGGTACGTTCTTTCCATGTTCTCTTGAAGTTGTCAACTGACAACTTCGCAGAATCTAGATAGCTATAAATATTCAGTACATATAGTCATGTATACTCTACCCGGCATGGCCCACAGAAGTGCTTCCAGAATTTGAGCAGAAGTCGTGCCTCATGACCCACAAGCTATGTCTTTAGTAGATTCATTGGATATCACCCTACTAACAATGATATTGCATAGCTCTCGAACTTCAATGTGTTGAAATCATCAAGACCTCAATGTTTGTTTCAAAAGGGAGACCTCAAACTATCAAGTGCTACTGTGTATATAGTAGTTGTGCCAATAAAATCCCGAAGTAATCATTGCTTGAAGTCATGTATCCCGACATCAACGTCACTGTCTCGACATCCCGACGCCAACGACATCCGGACGTCCCGATATATCGATGTCGGCGACGTCTAGACGTCCCGACGTCCCGACATCGGGTCACCATAAGCTGGGCGAGCTTATTTTGAAAAAGCGCATGCTATGCGCGAGGCTGTTTATATGTGAAAATTTTGAATCATTTTTGGTAGAATATTGGGCCACTATCTATACGAAGCTCCCAATTTTCTTTGTATTTCCTCCGACAGCTTTCAATGGAATAATTTTGAATAAACGGTCCCCGAATAGATTGAAAAATCGGCTCGGATTTTGTCAAGATACGATTGTGAATATTAATGGTAGGTTTTTCATATAAACTGTACTATATCGGGCCCATAACATGGACTGGGTTTAGGAAGAAATATTCAGAATTTTCGGCGTCCGGTAAGCCGAATAGTTTTGTACCAAACCTCACTATAAAATCAACCTTTCGGTCGCCAGAAAATCGGCTAATCCCCGCAGTGTTAACTATTAACGGTATTTGATGCGACGTACGGACTGTTGATGGGACCCTCGCTTACACCAAAAACCAGTTTACAACAGGGTAGGGAGGCCGTTGTAAGTTGGTTTTGATGCAGTTTTTGCGAAGCCGCTGTCCGGCCATCTTCGCTTAGCGCCTATATTGGTGGCACAAATTAATTGTCTGGTGTCCTGCAAATAATTCCTACGGGAAGTCATCCAGTGGTCCTTTCTCTCTGCGACATAACGAAACTTATAGTAGACCAAATCTATCTACATATACCGGCAGATAACTTCTTGCACTGAATTTATACAGGCATCGTGCGTCGACCCGTCGGAAAGATTGTTACCTTGTTATCTGCACATGGTCAAGTTTCTATCCATCAACGACGCTGAAGGACCCCTGATTATACACTATGATCCCAGACGGTGGTTCGGACAAGACACCCCCCCAAATTTGGTCTCTAGCCATAGGAAAATTCGGACAAAAGACCGCCATAGGCGGCAACCAGAAGGAAAAATTCGGACAAAACACCCTAAAATTTACCATAAATTGCACCAGAAAATTCAATAAACCAAATTTACAACCAGTTGCACTTTGCCGGCGTCGGAAAATTTGGACGCTTATACCATGGCCGGAGGGAAATTCGGACAAAAGTCCCTCCCAAAATTCTACTTTTGGTCCGGACAAAATCCCTCAGGATCAGGCAAAATTTTCATATGGGATCATAGGGTATAATCAGGGGTCCTGACGCTGATCACTGCGTTTTGTTTCCTTTCCTCCCTTCACCGCTGGTCGGTCCAGTATCCCTTGCAGTACTGTTTCAACAAAACCCGATTTTGTGCCTGATTCTGAAATGCAGCTGCTTTCTCCTTCTACAAAACTCTTTTCATTTTGGATCGGTGTACTCTTCCTTGTACCGACTATGGCTGTGCCCACTGGTTCTCCGACCAACGTGAGTGTCGACAACGAGTCGCGTTTTCTCCCCATCTCTAGCTATCTTAACTGATTTCTCTATTGTGACCGTCATAGGCTGGAACGTCACTTTCAATGTCCGGTGGATTGTCTGCTTCCAACCCAGACCTGCCAGGTCATAGTACGAGTGTAGATAGGAATGCTTATGACCAAGTCCTTCATGCCAAGGATGCCAATACTGGCCAGAATCCCATCATCGAAGCCAGACTCTGGATCGACCCTCATATCTTCGATGCCGACCTACATTATCGAACTGCTATGGGCTTCGCTGTTGAACATATGATGAAGCCAATTCGGTCGACGATCCTAAAAGATATCAAAACGAACGTCAAACCGAATATTCCGTCGTTAGAGTTCCCCAGTACGACTCCCGTTGCTGTGTATCGTCTCACGGGGAAAGACTTTGCAAACCAGGGTGACTTCGAGATTAGCTTTTCCGGTGTTACCAGACGTGATCGCACACGTTTCAGAAACTGGTGGTTTGCAATGCCTGGTTCGCTTGATCCCTCTTATTTTGGGCGTGTTGATCTGAAGTGTCTGGTTCCAACGCAGAAGGGATCGTATGTGGTCAAGAAAGAGTTGGTTACCGGGAAGATATCACGGCGTTATCCAGAACAGAATGAGGAAGTGTTGATATCGTTCAAGGACGGAAAGCCATTGTTCAAGAACGGAGAGGTACGGTACTTGGTTTCAATTTTGTGAACCTCAACTAATTAAAAAATGGCTTCAAAGGCTGTTTCTGAAGAAAGTCCGAAGAAGTCTGCTCCTGAAGAAACTCAGAAGAAGTCTAGCTTATCTCGAGTGAAGACATTGTTCGGGAAAAAACCTGGTGGGCCAAGTTCTTCCTGAAATCCATTATGGCACGAGAGAAGGTTCGTCAAGTCCTAGCAGTCTATCTATGCCTGAAGTCAAGTCTGATGTCGATATCTGAACAGTCAACTATGGGCACAGTACAGTACTTATGTAGGATCTCGCAAGTGCCAATTTATATGTATATGCTATTTCTGCAGGATGCGCTCCGGCCTTCTTTTCGATATCTCCATCGATCTTTCATGGAGATTCTTGCAGAACTACTACTTTGCAAAGGATTCAAGCCACGTCTGCATCGCCATCTCGCCACCTGGCGCTATCGTTGTATCCGCGCCTGTACTCGTCGGGTTGAATAAGTATGTGAAATGTCGTGGTCCGCTCTGATCTTGTTGTAACTTGTAGTCTCAAACCTGTCGCCCACTCGTGAACTGCAGTGGGTGCGTTTCATGAAGGCTGTCGAGCCATAAAAATAGGTATTACGAAGATCCGTCGGAGCTAGGGGAAAAAGTAGCTCAAATTTTCGTATAAAAGGGGACCGTGAGCTTTCTGCGTTTCATTCCATCCCCACCGCTGGTCGGTCAAAAATCGAGCATCTGCAGTGATTCTCAGCATCTTTCGCAAAACACTCCGCACGCCGTGCTCAAAACTGTTCAAAGTTCATTGTTACGATGCACTGGCTCTTTGCTTCAACGAAAGGGTTTTGCTCTGCTCTTTTCATGAGTATACTCCTCCTTGTGCCAGTTATGGCCGTACCCATTGTCCATCAAATTCCAGACGTGAGTGCTCGTTTGCGGTTTGACCTGATATGCTTTTTCAATTGATTCTTCTACCAGCCAAAAGAGATGTATTTGATGAGCGGTGGATTGTCACCCGACGCACCCAACATATCTAATGCAACCAGCGCCACTACCAACGCTTTGGTACAACACGTCGAAGAGGATGATCACGGTCATATACATGATGATCCATACCCAATCAAGGGCAAACTCTTTGTCCACCCCAACCTCTTTGAAGTCGGCACTCCACCCGAGCTCCGGGACGTCATGAAAAATGCTATCGAATCGATGCTCGAACCAATAATCCCAGAAATTTTAGCAGTATACGAGCAGAATCGTCCCGACTTGAAACTACAAGAACCACCGACCAGGATACCTCTCATCCGTATCTTCAAGAATCCGGCAATTACAGATATGTATGATTTTCGTTTGACGTTTTCCAAGAACCGACGCACGTATTTTGGACATATTGATAAGAAGTGTTTGATACTGGAGGGGGAGGATAAAAACAAGGTGTCGTTTGAATTCCAACCGGAATTGCTCACAGGGAAGATGGGAGAGGATGCTCGGTTGAAAAACAGGCTATTGGTATCGTTCATGGACGGTAAAACGGTTGTAAGTAGTATCCTCTTTTTTTCCACCACTGTCCATTCATTCGTTCTAATTGCACAGGATGTCACGAGAAATAATGGTCTCCTTTCGCACTTCAAATCTAAAACCAAGGGGACAAACCAAGGTTCTTCGTGATCATGATGAATGCCATTCAATGTGCGAGGCAGGCAGGTCAGTCAGCGACTGACTGACCGTTTTTCGAAAATTCTGACATATCTGATCCAGGTCGTTATATACATAAATACATGCCTTGAAGCTAGGATAGGTTGGGTTTTGTAGGCATACTGCTTCGATTTCTGTTATACATTTGGGTTCTTCAATGATCTTTTATTACTGATTGCAAGGATATCAGTATCCCATAGTATCTGAGTCGCGTCAAGTCCATCATGTGTTTATCATGTACATTCAAGTATGTACCTACTTGCAGTGACTTGTTCGAATCGTTGTTCTCAGTCTTCCTTCGGGAGATACGTGTAGGTTGACATAGTCATAGAATTTGGACAGGTTTGCCTTTTTGGGCTTCCACCGTCTCCAGCGTCCAAAGAAAGATTCCGGTCGGGATCGAACGAGCTTCGCCGCAGGTGAAAAAAGGCTGTAAGCGGACACGGACCCTAGTGGAAAACGAAGGCGAAAGATGTCGATGAGGCCTCAGTACTCAGTGAGGATCCTTTGAAAGCGCATTATTAGGCGCTGGCTCTATGGTCACATCTCTCCTTCTGCCATATCAGTTATGTCTATTCAAAAGCTGATCATCTTTCTTTCTCGCAACTTGGACTGGTTTCATGAATAGTCAGAAGCGACGAAAACAATACCGGAACGTTCAATTTTCCGTCATGCATTCACGCTCGACAAGCTGAGCATAACGCCTGCCGGGCTAGTCTTTTCATGAGCAGTCCCTGTACCTGATAGACGACCACCTGTCCACTCATGAGCTATACAACACGGACAGCTGGACTCGAGAGCATACATCTTCAAATACAACAACCAGTGTATCTACTATGGGCTTATCTGCAAGCAACACTTCCCAACTTGGAAGCTTGCGGGCAATGCAAATATTGAAGTTGAGAAGCTACCTTAATCCAACATCCACCGGAAAGTTTTCGGGGTCGGAGCAACTTTGACGATGCGGATGTTCAGAGAAAACTCACTTACTCAAGGTAAGTCATGGTTAACGCGTTGTGCAAGATGTAATTTCCTCCCTATAAAAAGTGCCCTAACCCTCAGCGATCTTCAGACTTCTCGTCTGCTTTCTCTGCTCTCAATACAACACCAATGTCCTCTCTCTCGAACTTCCCTAAGCTTCCTACCAGCGTCGGTGGTCAACCTATCCCAGACTTTCTCAAGTTCAAAGTCCGTGGTCCCGTAACGCGCCAACCTGTCTCCGACAAGTTCAACTTTGCGATCACTGCTTCCCCGCAATTTGGGACTCGAGGAAGGCTCGACCTTCGACGAGGGAAAGCTCTGGCACCCCATTCAATCGCTCGAATTTACCTCCAATAATGAATCCACCGGAGGTGGTTTGATGAGCTTCCGTGGCAATTACCAGGCCCGCTCGACCAGGCTAGTCGGCAAAGAAGCTTCCTCCAAGAGTGTCGTGAAACTTGACAGTGGCGAGTACGTCAAGGGCATCAGTGGTACGTGCTAGTTTCTTGAAACAAGGACAACATCTCTTGCCTCTATTTTATTCTGATCATAACGCACTGCTCAGGTACCGCTGACCACTATATCACTGGCCTCACGATTCATACAAGCAAGAGGGATGTTCCCGTCGTCACTGGAAGTGGCGGCGCTGACTTCCAGTTTGTCGTACCTGCCGATCATCAAGTGGTCGCATTCCACGGCACCGAAAGTGTGTACAACTTGCCACTCGTTCAATTTTCCTTGTTTGAAACTGCTGTGTTAGATGGTAATCGCGTTGCAAGCCTTGGTGTATTGCATCAACGCCGTCTCGAGACTATCTCTGATACTTGTAGGTCTTCTTCTCATCTTTATAGCTCAAACTCATGCCTAGTTCCTTAAAGCTGCGCTCGCCGCTGATGATCCCACTCCCGTTCTTAACGCATCTCTGTCCTCTCAATGGTTGGACGCTAACACCCAAAATGCTTGGGCTAATAACGACATGAGTACTGTCGAAAACCTGAAGATTCAAGCTAGTCAAGACTTACTTCCCATCTACTCCAACATCGCAACCAACGGCGATAGCGCTTGGACCGAAGTAGAAGGCGACGATGGAGAGATCTACTACCTCTCTTGGACTACGAACGGCGTCATCTGGTCGTACACGCCTACCGCTTCCAATAGCGTTAACAAGGCCAGTGGCACCACCACCGCTACTACCGATACGATTGTATCGATTGGCTCATACTCCACTACTGCCAACTTCCTCGGCATTAGTATGTACACTTGGAGTAACATCCCGGTATGCTCGGTGTAGCGTTGATTACTTACATAACTGAATTTTTCACCTCGTTTGATAGACTACCGTCGTCTCTGCAGTTCTTGCTCTCGGATTTGCTTTCTTGGTGCGCCCTATTATCCAGACTGGGCTTGAGATTGGGCTTGCAGCTGCTGCAAACCTCCTTGCCGAGGGCCTTGCCGCCGCTGGTTTAGAAAGTGCCGCTGTACTTGTCCCAGCAAGCGTAGCAACAATTGGAGGGTGAGCCTTTCCAATGTCAATTACTTATGTCAAATCGACTTTTTCTGTTTCAGAGTTGTCATTGCTGGCGTATTGGGTGTAGCACTGGCCTTGGGGTGCATTGCGCTTTCCAGTGTCATCTTCAAACAGTACTTCTTGGTTATCAATATCTATAATTTTGACACTGCCCACCAATGGGCAACTGTACAACACTATCAAGACAACTCAGTTGTGTCAAACGGGAGTTGGACAGACCAGACACTTGCCAAGTTCGTACTCAGTGGTCAGTACATAAAGTCAATGATTGTCATATAGCCTTGAGCTCTTATTGTACTGTGCAGGCAACAAGGTCGCTCCCCCAGGATTTGACCCAGTGACGACACTCGATAATGTCGTCACATATCTCAACGCTAATTTCCAAAATGACAGCACCTTCTTGGAAGGTCTCGGCGAGGCCATTGTCTTGAATCGTGACGACGCAGCAGCCGGTACGGATTATCTGGTTCCTGTACGATGCTAACTCAAACCGAATGACTGACTGCCTCTTTCGTACGTATAGCCTTGGCGATTAAGTACGTTGTCAACCGAACTTCGGACAATCAAATTGGTGCCGAAGGCATCAGTGGGTCTGGCGCAACATACGATCTAGGTAATTATTATAACAGTGGTACTTGGAACACCTCTACCTCTTGTCAAACCACCGCCGGGAGCTTGACCGTCAACTGCTTCACGCCTGCATTGAGAGGGGCGAGCAACGACACGTACACCTACGAAGTTAACGTTGGTCTTCCCCCCCCTTCATCGTCTTGAGCGCGAGGAATCGTGTAATAATATTCCTCGTTGTCCCCAACATGTATGTTTTCATTGTACTCCAAAGTTCTCTCTGAACACGGACGTATCATCTATATCTAAGCGCGTTCATGAAATGATACGAATATATACTTTTGTTCACACTGCTTGAGACCTGAAATTCCCCCCAGTCCGGGTTCCCTCATCACGGAATCCTGTCTTATAGGCTTTGTCGTTCAAGTGGGTGCGAGGACGATGAAACGATCCCGGGTAATTGGAATTCGGTGACAACAACTTGTTCATGTGGGACTTGTATGGGACCGCTTCTGTCCGAATGCATATGGCAATCGAACTCTCTGTCCTGCGTTACTGAACATTTGCAGTTGCGCCACATGGACAACACCATTGGATCGTGACACTCTATATATACTCAAATCAAGGCGCTACCACCACATCTCAAGGAAAGTCCCCTTCCTTTCCGCGCGCTAAACACTGCTAGGCACCATTTAAGTTGTTATTAGCTCGGGGGTACCGACGCAAGACGGAACATTGTGATGTCGGAATCAGGTCGGAATCAAACAAGCAAGTTCTTGAAGAGCTTTCAGCATGCGAAGTAGTTCTCCACTGTTCTTGGCAGGTGGTTCTTTACCCAAGTAAGACTTTTAGACACCTTGAGGTCAAGTTTCAACAATCTCGACTTTATACCCCCAGATTTATACCCCCAGACAAGCTTCAAACAAGGGATCCTGTGGATGCAGTCACTCAGCGCTGCCTTGTTCAGTGAGGATATAGCACAAAACGGTCCACCTTTTCCACCGTATTTGGCCCTCTTATTCTCGATGCAGCTCGATGCGATACGTGACCTGAGCCTGATCTCATCTGATTCTGGTAAAAAAAAACTCACCGCAGCATACATAATCTATTTTAAACGTTGTGTATTCGTCAACCTCAGCCTATCCTCAGAACGCTATTCAGGGATTATTATTAGCGTTTAAGCTGTCGCAGATGCTACTAGATAGATACTATGTAATGTATATGATGGCATACGCAGTCCTACACAATAATGTAGCGAAACGAACATACAATCTCAGGTTTGCGCAACATGTACCGACGTCCGAATGTTGCAGCAGGTACGCACGTACTCCCCCTATGTATTATGCTTGTTCGAATCCAGGTGAGAAAAATGTAAAGATTTTTTTTTTCTTCAAACATCCATCTTATCTTATCTTTCTTCGAATTTGTCTGCATCTATCCTGCCCCACGACCAATCCTACCATGTTTCTACCTCATGTATTGTGTTCGCCAGGGAAGACACGACTTCTGCAAGCCAGGATGAATGCGTCAAAGATGTGTAAATGATGAAACTGAGTTGCCGTTTTGGTACATAAAGGGAACGACAAAGTGAGCGATGGTTGATGGAGTTACTGTTACTTGCTTTCTTGTTACTTGGCTTTGGCTATCCTGGGAGTCTTTTTACTTATTCCTCTTCAACAACTCTACATCTGCACTTGAAAGGAATCTACCTGTGGGCGGAGCAGTATAGAGTATAACGGTGACTCTGGGCTATACATATTTCGAGGTATCCATGCCGCTATCATTACTGTAGAGCCGTCTACTGATTTTTCCCTTTCCTTTCCTTAAATCTCTTTCAAACCTCGGAATTGGGATCCGCTCATATCTTCAACCGATGTTCCCCAACATAACAATTTGTGATGTCCTTCTGGAATTTCTGTCGGGCGTCTTGTTCTCTTTTTGGCGCTCTAATATTCGACCCTGCGCCTTCGTCGATGACAGACCGGCTACTTGACCCGAGTACTGCTCCCGTATTTGAGAAATCAACTGCCTTTGGCCTCTGACTTTCTGGCCTTCCAACTCTCGTACTTAGGCTCTCGCGATCTTCGCGAAACTTCAAGAAAGGAGTCGTGTGAAGGACAGGAGGGACGCCCAAAGGAATTCTCGAGAAAAACTCGCGAAAAATTTCGTTATCATACAGGTGAGCATTGCGTTACATTCGATGCAACTTCTAACTCAAGAAGCACGACCTCAGGCCTTCCAAGTACAATCGCCACGACTTCCTTCCCTTCTGTACGTCCTATACGAATATGGATTCTGTATCGTGGCTCTTAAACGCGTCGCATTACAAGATTCTTCTCCAGATTCTCTACGGCCAGTTGAACTTGTGGCGAATCACATAATACGTACGCCAGGTATGTATTTAACTATGTACTTTTTCCTATCGGTGTACTCAGCGTCTCTTGGTGGAACGGCCGAAGGATAGGTGGACGCACAAGGCTAAGAACTATAAAAACTGATAGTTGGTCTCTTGTCACTCGGATTGTTCCCTTCTCGGTTTTATCCTGATTTGGACTCCTCGAACAGCTACTACACTGCTCTTTTCGAGTTCCGGAATGATCATATTCCGTCGCAAATATCCCCTGTCATATATCAACTGCAGCAGCGCAGTCTGGTACGTTCATCCCGATTCCATTCTTTGTTCCTTCCCTTCCTCCTTTCCCTCTTCCTATCTGAATATTTTATTACATTGCATCCTTCATATCACTTCATGTTGAGTTAACATCATATATCTTCTCCCGTGTATCCATCACGTCCATATACACCGCGCCGCGTACGGTCTAGGTTTCTCTTCCCTGTTTCTCATCTTATAGATTATTTATTCCTGTCGTCTTAGTTCCATTCTCGTGTTCATATCCTTCCCGTGTCCGCGGAAGTTCATTTGTGGAGTGCCTCGTGCTTACTTACTGGAATTATTAGAACCTTGAACCTGCGGCGAACGCCCGTCACTGTCAATCGGCCCACATTTTATCTCAGTCATCTCATCTATCACCGGCGATATCCGAGATAATTCTTCGGTGGTATTGTATATCCTGGAAACAGCCATCTCGAAACGAAAGTCAACGAGGAAAGGTTCTTTGTACTGAGTACCTGTACGGCGCGTCGTACGGTGAGTGGTGGAATTCCTCTGTCTAAGCGACAAACCCAGTGCTCAGTTATATTGCTTCATACTCCGCACTGCATAAAACCAACTCCGCAGGGATAATAAGCAAGCGGACCCTGCTCCGGTATCCAATTTCCGACATCCCCATACCGCTATGGATGCCACGCATTCCTACAACCCCAGCTCCACTCGCGAAGATGAAAACAATAGCACTCCTGAAAACCAGTATCATCGACACCAGTATCCTACTACCACCAGGTTCCTACCTCCCATTGACGCGTTCGATGATAGTCTGGACGAAGAAGAGGATGATGACATGCCTCCTGGTATTATGGTAGACGAGTTGTCTCCACTTCCTCCTCGTCTTTTCATACACGACGATGCGGATGAGGATATGCCTCCTTCAGGTATCGTAAATAATGATACGCTTGATACACAACCACGTAACAGAAAGGAAGGCAAAGTTGGTGACGACCCGCCTCCTCTTGTTCTCCCTCCCGCTACCTTGTCTAGAGGTGGCAGTGGACTTACCAGCGATGGAGGCAATCCGAGCAGGACTATCAACACTAGAAATAAACCTGCTCGCACGGGTCCCCTTACATTCAATTACACATTTCTTCCCGATATGTCGCTAGCCACTGCTAGTGATGGCTCACCTGGTGCTCGTATCACAGAAGTTGCAAGTGATCTAGGTGGATTGAATCCAGAAAACACCACATATTCCTCCTTTCCTACCGTTTCTGGAGTGGAATACGATCCGGGAGCCATTCACAGTGTCGCCTACCCCACCTACCCAACATCCTATCCCCCGACATCTTATCATCACATCCCACGACCACCCAACGCTTTCATACTTTTCCGGAGTGCGTTCATCCGAAGTCGCAAGATTTCTTCGGAGATTGAAGGGAATCATAGCACGTTGAGTAAGATTATCGGGAGAGTATGGCGGTCTTTACCTCCCCCTGAACGCGCAGAATGGGAGGCCCGCGCGAGGATTGCGCAGGAGGAACATCGTCTGAGATATCCGGATTGGAGGTTCAGTCCTGCCGGAGGTGGAAGCGGAGGTGGTGGGAAAAGCCGAAGTAAGGGCAATCGAGGGAAAGGCAGAGGTAGAGGTAGAGGTAGAGGGAGGTTGAAAGCCGGGCAGGGAGGAGACAGTGTGGCTTCAAGCGCAGGAAATGAAGCAAGTGCTGATATGGTGGAGGAGTCTGGTCAAGACAAGGCGAATGAGGAACCTCAAGAACCGAATGAAGGTGGATTGAGAAGAATACAGCTGGTACCTCGGGCGAGTTCAAGTACGAGCAAGCCTGTCAGCTTCAGGACGGTGGATACATTATCGAATCCTAAGGACCCAGCTACTACATCCACTCAAACCCTGTCAGCATCGAGCGCCGGCAGTGCTGTCGTTGTTGATGACCCTTCGGAAATCTCAACAAGAAATCTAATTACGTCTAATCTACAAAGAGAAGTAGTGACTGCCGATGTTTTCCGGACATTGTCTGCAACTGACTCGAACTCGAATATGCTGTCTACCGGCATTGATGAATCTCAGAGTAGTGAACGGGAAAGTGACCAGCCTAGAGAGCAGGGTGGCAGCGAGACCGTTGCTATTGATTCCCTCTCCTCGGCTTCCACTTGGTACCCATCTGCTACAGCTATTGTCAAAAACGAAACGGATGCCCGCGTAGACGCGATTGCCGATATGCTCGCGCAGGGATTCGAAGGCCGGGCGTTGGAAGTTGCGGTACGCGAATGGGAAGTGGCCGACGAGAAACAGAAGGAAAGGAAGAGGAAGGATCGAGAGAGAAAGGAGAGGAGAGAGGGGAGAGAGAGGGGCATGAAAGAAAGGGAGAAAAGGAAAGGCAATGCAAAGGAGATGGACATAGTTGGTATGGCAGCACAGAAGTCCCATGAGTGGGTAGAGGAGGCAAATACAAGGGTTCGAGGGAGCGCCAATGCATCTATCACGAGACAGGCTCGGGAGATGGATGTAGATCAACATCAACAAAGTCAAGATCCTGGTGAGGATCGGAGGGAAGATGAAACAGAGTCCCGACGCAGTGAGCAAACCTTATATGCACACGTGCCCGAGTTTGGCGTTGAAGAGGGATTTCTCCACGGGGATTTTGGAAATCATAGTTGGCTCACTTCTTACAGCCCTGAAGAACGTGCGGAGGTCGTGGGGGAAGTCCCAAGTGAGTTTATTCATGCATATCGTGTTTTTATCTCCGGGCTTATCATTTGTATATCGTCGTACAGGCTCTTCAAGGTCAAGCTCCAGCAATGAAACAGAGAGAGAACGTGGACGCGCTGGTGGCGAATGGGGCTTGTTTGGCGTGGGCGGTAGTGCTTCCGGTATGGTCAGTCTACTGATACAATATGCTAACCTCAATTTTCCATTCCCTTCGTAGTTTCACAAAACCTCAATACAATGAATCCGCTCAATTCTACGTCTGTCCCTCTCACGCGCCTTTTCCTCAAACGCTCGCTCTCTGAGCCAGCTGCTCCACGTCCCACACGGCCCAGACTCCAGCTGACGCCTGAAGATGGCATTGTAGACAGAGACGGAGAGGCTTCGCTCTATGATGAGAAAGGAAATCATGGTGGAAATGGTGGTTATGACTTGGGTCAGCTATTTGCAGAAGCCATTCCGCCGTCAATGTCTACAATGTATTCTTACTCCTCTTCCCCATCCTCTTCCTCTGTATCACCTGGTGGAGGATACCTTCCACGACGCCACCATGCCAACAGTTACCCCATACCAGGTTCTAATTCAGTTCGTGGACGATCTGGCTATCCCATATCTCATCCATATCCAATCCATTCTTCCGAACCATCATGTGTGACTCCTCGAATTCAGATCAACGACGTTTCGAGCGGTCTAGGTGACGCGGTTGATGAACATTTGTCTTCCATATCTACTTCACCAACAAGTCCTCAGCCGTCCTCAGCCTCTGGCACCCCGTCATCGGATCTTTCTTCCTTGGCCACAATGTCATTTATGGTTCCATCGTATTCGTCCTTCTCGTACAGTTTACCTGCGCCCGAAGATACCGGTAACTACGACAATGAAAATAGCAATCGGATCAATATGACCGGCCAAAGGAGCGGGAGTATTAGTCCCATTCGTTCCCAAAGGAGCTCTGCTCCTCTTTCGGCTCCTCTGCCGTATCCTTATCCGCGTACACACAGTGATGGGATGCCTCAACGTCGAAGAGCCTGGTCGACGCGATCTACCTTAACACTCAACAACACATTAATAGAAACGTCTCCTGAATATCACTGGCCCACTGGAAGTTTGAACAGTAATGCGACCGATGTCTCCTTGAGCCCCACACACAAAGACACCCATCTGCGACCGGCCAGCCGTGCTTCTCTACCTCCTTCAAGCCCTGCATCTCCGGTAGGAGGCGAACTCCGATCAGGACGTCGGAATGCCTTTCTTAACCAATCGCATCGAAGGACGTCCACTTGGGGTGAACACTGGAGCTACTTTACATCCACAAATACTGATTCAAGTCCTTCGCCAAGTCCGTCTGCCTCGCCCCATCGTGAACCCATCTCGAACAACCCCAATTCTGCACAGACTTCTTTGACATGGCAGCAAGTTGAAAGCGAAAGGCGCAGAGGATTCGCCACTGAATTCATGGAAGAGGAAGGTGACACTGTGGCTCGAATGGCAGACAAAGGGAAGGGTATTGGCGTGGCACAAATGGTTAGCACTGATAAAATGGGCTGGGAGCAGGCACGTTTCCCTTTGTCCTCACGCTCCTTCGGTTTGGTAGTATCTGACGTAAGAAACAGATGCTTCCCCTGTGGCCAACACATGGTGATTTAGGCCCGGATTTGGCTGGGACAGATCCAGAAACTTATCAGACTTCAAATATGCAATCACCATCAACTTCCTGGATTCCAGCTTCCTCTGGACATGTAGGCTATGTTGCCTCTATACTTGATCCGCATCTTCAAAATCCAGAACGAGACCAATCTTTGAAGACACACGAAGAGTTTGCGAATATCCATTCACATGGCCAAATGGAACCTTCAACTACTCACCGTCAGCCTTCGCCTTCACCTCCATTCCACCACTTTCCTTCGTCCTCGTATAGTAGTTTAAGTGGGTGGGCCGGGAAAGAAGAAGAAAATGGCTTGATGGAAAGTGCGAACTCCGATAGCTATCCCTTGAGAGGAGAGGCTATTGGCGAACCAGTAATGACGCTCAGAGCACCTCCTTCATTGTATGGGTTTTCATCTAACTCGGAGACTATTGCCGGATCACAGTGGAAGCCGCGGCGTGAAGACGCAAATTGGATCATGAATACTGCGACAGATGCAAATTCCGGACAATCCTCAACACCTTGAACATTCTCACCGGTGAGATTCGTACCTACCAAAGCAAGCTTCCGCTCGACTTTGATTAACATTTTCCATACCGTTACACCACGTCCATGATTCACGCTGCTTTCTTGTTTTGTATTATTTCAGACTTCACTTTTACTATTATTTCTACCGGAGGCCCCGCACATTTTTTCCCTTTGTACTAATCCTTCGATGAATATCTGTGAGAATCTCGATTCTTGGCTTGGTGATGGGATTATATCAACTCTATGTCATTATCTATACTGTATCGGAATATGTAACGTAGTAAATCGAAACACGAGATTTCGAAAAGGTTGGCCCGCATCTTGAGAGATCTTGAGCCACTTCGCAGAAACTCTTCTACGTCATGTGTTGTATACATTAATGTCGACCAGCAACAGAACTTATTTTGCCATAGCAAAACAGCTCTACACGAAATGGACCACGTAGATCTATCCATGAAGCTTTCAGCATTTCAAAGGCGCAAAGTGATTCATTTGGTTTTTCGGTCCTATTCAGAGTAGGTAGAAATTATAACGATTCAATACAGTTGTAGAGTATCCGACTGACTCTGATAATTATGAGATCATGAATACAGGTGAAAAATAAAGAAGTACAGGTGACGGTAATCGAAACAAGATATTTCATGATGTGTGGATAGATATGATTCATTCTGTTAAATTGTAGAGCGGGATTCACTTCTTAGTTCTTGGAACAACGATTAAAATGACTGAACTGGAGATTATTTCAACAGAGACTCACCTTTTGTTGCTGGAATCCTCATGACCGGATTCAGCTTCGTCGATTTTACGTTTCTGTGGCCTGGAAACTCCGACCAGTTCGATAGAATTGACCTGAGGATTGTTACAAGGCAGTCTCAGAGCTTGAACCACATATTCGTGAATATCGAAAGCTGTTTCTTCGATGACGGATATTTTCGCCTCTGAGTCTCGAAATGCAGTATGAAGTTTTATTGCGATTGCACGTAAGGTATTGATGACGAACCGGAAAGACGGCGATAAAGAAGTTCCTTCCACCGTCAATTGACGGGAAGTCTGTAGGAACATTGCTCGATCCAGGATTTGTGTGAATAGAACCAAGGCTTTCTGAGCGCGGGCAGTAGCAAGCTCGAGATCAGCAATATGTTCCTTGTCATCATTGAAGTAAAGAAGGTAGACAAGAATCCACCAGATGGATTCTATATCATGAAGAGGGTTGAAGGCGAAAGGTGGCTGGTCGATTGAACTTGTTGGGATTTGTTCTGGGCCACCATATGAGTCTTCGGCGGGTAAGAACAAGTAGCGGCCAGTGATAACTTCAGAAGCCATGAAGTTAAACGTGCCCTAGTTGAATTCAAGAACAATCAGTATGCGAGAGAATTGCAATCCAGCAGGACGTACCGTGCGAACTTCATGAGTGGAGGCCGGTTTCCGTACTTTAGCGAATTCCAAGTCCCCTAAAAGTCCTCGGTTCGAACCTTGGAGGCCCACAGCCCCGCAGTCGTACCAGTAGACATTGCCGGAGCTTATGTCTCTGTGGACCCATTGGCTCTTATGAATCCACCGTAGAGCTTATAGAAAAGTCTGTATCAGAGATAGTACAAATCATTAGCTGAAGACAAACCATCAGTCACATCAGCCAATGCTCGAAGAGCATTGCCCAGATTCTTCTCGTCATACATGGTGGTTGCGTATTCCTGAAATACGATACGATAGTGGTATCGAGATGTAACTTGGGGACCATTTTGCACTGGATCCCCAACCGGAAGATAACGTGCTGATGTCCCAGAAAAGACTGCATCCACAGGGTTTTGCCTGGTTGATACCTGACTTCGGGTCGTAGATCGAGATTGTTGAGGTACAAACAACTTGAGGTGTTGGAGAGTCTTAGGTAGGGAACCACCCCGCATGATTACCTGAGATGTGTCATCGACATTGGTGCCAATGAGGAGCTTTTCAAAAGCAATTGGGGTAAGAAGATGCTTTTTGACCGTTGCGCAAGCATCGGAACCACATTTGAGCTCAACATCCTTGAGAAGGTTTGAACGAATTTCATCTTCAGTTTCGCGGCCATTGTCGACCCAGACATCCTTGAGAACATAATAACAGTCAGGTGGACCAGCCTCATCGATGACAAGCCAAACACGTGTGCCACGGCCAATTGGGCTATCCGCTGCATGATCAGAGAGCATCTTGACAGTGATGTAGGTCTTGTCCCCAACTCGGATTCGATATTGTCGTTTTTCTGTAGGAGAGGCGGGCAAGATAAACGACATGGATGGATCCCAGCCCGCATCAGTACGTGATGCGAACGCAAAAGCTAAAAAAACATGAACAAGCTTTTCAGGTTCCTGTGAAAAGGAGATAGATTAGTTAAATTCGGCGAGTTTTACGGCGCCATACTGATATAAAATCAAAAGGTTCAGCTGTGAAGAATGCACCGCGAGAGCAAAACCAAAGTCTGAACGAGCGATTCATGATCGACGTCCCAAACGTAAACCGCCGACACGGGTCCAAGGCCATGATTTGTTGCATGTTGTAGACAACCTGAGAAACACACTAAAAGGTCCATGATAAGAACTGAGATGGGCGAGGTAGGATATGGGATCCTCACTTGGTTCATGATGTCCCGCACTCTCTCGTTACCCTTTTTGAACTCATGAGAGTTCCAGACTTGGTAAAGGGACGGTTCTTCTCCGGAACGACTTAATCGCACAGCTTCGTCGATTGATGTGAAATGGCCATCGGGCATTGTAGTACTATCACGTTCGGAAGTTGCTTTTGCATGAGGAGTAAGCTTCAAGGCAGACTTCTGTTCAAGTCCAGGGATTTGCGTCTTCGCAGCGTCAACGATTCTCTCAAATACGTTCTCGAGTCCAGCATAGACGTCGTCTTCATGTCGGCTGTCGTCACGTGGATGCTCTGGGATGCCGGCCCATGAATTGTTCTTGATCGCTTTGGACTTCTTCAACGAGGCAACAATCTTCTTTGTATCTATCCCATCGGGAAGAGGGGGCAGAATGTACTTGAAATACCAACTTAAAGGTACCTCAGGTACCTGCTCCTTCAATTCCAACATCACTAGTTTTCTTTTTGTGTTGGTACCCCCGAGCCGATATTCGATGTTGTCTACCTTGCGGAAACGAAGGGGACTTTCCTCGGAGTCGGAAAGAGCTGGAGGGATGGTGGCTGTGTTCAACGTTGCGAGCCCGTGACCCGTGATTTGACTGTTACGTAACTATTAGCATTGTTTGAATTTCGAATTTGATCGCAAGCGTTTGACTTCGGAAAAGGTTGGAAAGGATACTTGAGCAGAGAGAGCGGGAGACTGAAGAGCAAATTTCCCCGCCAGTCATTTATTTGATCTCCTTGAAATGAGACTTCGAAAATAGGGCCAAACTGAAATTTTCCATATTAGGCCATTCTTGTACAGATTTAGAAAAGCCCAGTTACTACTATCGTCCCTGCCGACTTTGGAAAGCTAGAAGAGGTTGAAAATACAATTTGATATGCAATCCCTTCGTATATAGCTGTATATACAGTGATGTGCAAATCAAATCCACACCCCCAAATTTGGAAGTCATTATGTCAACAGCACAGAAACCTTGCTCCGTCATTCTGGTACTCAGAATTACCCAATTTTGAGGTTTTATATAGCTTACATTGCCACATATAACTGTTTAGAGTAATATGCTATACTGTGTGTATTGTACAAGAAATGTTCAAGAAATGAGTAAAAATAGCTGGATTACAGTGAAAGTAATTATTCAGGGACCCATACACTTCAAGCTTCATCAGGAGAAAGCTTGGCATTTGTAGCCAGGAAGTGGGACCAAATTATCTTCTGGCTCCCCTTGAGTGAGTGCCAAAATGCAGGCCTGGCTGGGAATGGAAGGCTAGATAGATCAATGTCAAGACCATGCCTTGGCACCTTGTTCTGGCCCTCGGTACTCCAAGATCTACTCTTCCTTATTGTTCTTTCTCACTACACATTCCCTTTTTACCTAGTCTCTTCTTATTGTCTTATTCTCTACCCTGAAGGTACTACATATACAGCCCCTAGTTGTTACGATCACTTCTTTTTCATCTTATCTTTCTCCTTATCCCTTGTCTTATCTTTTATCTTTTGTCTTATCTTCTATCTCCCTTATCCTATATCTTGTCTTATCTTGTCACCTGATCTATTATTTATGCTTACTGATACAACATGTGCTTTTCATTTACTTATATTAAACACAGCAGTCTCACAACACGTATACAGCATGGCGATTGAGCTTTCATTACTTACACATTGCTTTACTTATGTTCTACTCATGTTTACCACTAACCCAGGGCGTTGGGCATTACTAGGGCAGAGGGTTGTTCACTAGTATATAGGCTGTAGCTACTTGCTGTATTTCCTTAGCTTTGATCTCGTCTATTCTACCTGGTTTAGCCCAGAACTTTGCTTACTTCCTTTATCGCCTTACTGTTTGAGGTTTTCTTGAGTGTGACACCTGGTGACACCCGTTACTAGAACCAGTCGCTGACAGAAGATCAAAGCTATTCTTACCACCTGTCACACGCTACGCAATCATATCCCTATCACAATTATCCCCGCTCACATTTTTACCAACCCTTCACAGACTTCTACTCTCTATTCGAGCAGTGTCGCCTATAGTACAAAGGTGTAACGTTGAGTCCGACACCGTACTGGCAGACGAAAGCGTTGACTGATCACTAATCTTCGGAGAAGGGTCTTCGCGTGCACAACGAGCTCCATTCCTAGACAGGGAGGGTGCATCTGTTCATCAAGCGAGAGTGGAAGGCTGCTTCCCACATCATCGTACTCTATTTTCGAAATCTCTCCCACACTACTCTCGACTTCTACAAATCCAATCATACATTTTCCCATCATCACCACCGGGTTGCATTAGTAACTTGTCTTCCTTACAACGGATTTTACTTCAAGACTAGGACGACCTAGACTTTCGGTACAAACCGATCGTTACCGTACCCCCGATTCATCTGCTCCATCCACTTCATCTTCTATTGAACGAAATATCACCTCATTCATACCTGCCTACATACCACCCAACTACAGCATGTCTAACCCTACTCCCGCTCCCACCACCACTACCTCCAACATTCATGGCAAGTCGTTGCTCAGAGAACCTAGCATCTTTGATGGCGACAAAGCGCAGTTCAAAGAGTGGCGTCGTACCCTCTTTGCCTACATTCGTGATCCAAGGAATAGGATCGTTACAGGCAGTGAAAGAATTGACATTGCGGTCTCGTATATGCGAGGTCCCAAAGTCAGTAGCTGGGTCCAGAATTATACGGACGATAATTTCAATGACGACGAGGAGGAATGGAAAGTCACCTGGAAAGGATTCAAGGACACATTGAATGCCTCCTTCCTAGACAAAGGACTTACAGAGAATGCACAGGAGAAGCTAGAACATCTCCGTCAGGGCCCCAATGAGAGGGCAGAGGATTTCTTCAAGGAATTTGAAGTCATCATGAGAGACGCTGGATATGCTAAGGACGCCCCCTACATTATCAGACTGATCAAAATGAACGTAAAGCTGAAACTGATCGACCAAGTGTACGGCACCAGCAATGAGCGAATCGAAAAATTCGATGAACTCAAACAGAAGATTATCAGCATCGACGACATGTGGTGGCGTCGTGAGGAAATGCGACGAAATTAGTCAAGCAGATACCAGCGGAATGCTGGGCAAGGACCTAGTAGCCAGAGATGGCAACCACAAACGACACAGGCTCCTGCAACTAAGGCTCCGACCCCTGCGGTACCCACCCAGGATAGGAAAGACGGCACTGGAACAACTTTCAAAGGTGCAGGCAGACCAATGGATATTGATGCTGCACGTCGCAACAGGGAATGTTTCCATTGTGGCAAGCAAGGCCACATTGCAAAGTTCTGTCCAGAAAAAGCACCAAAGCCACAGTTTGTCAGAGGCATGTGGAGCCGGATGACACAGGAGGATCAGGAGGCTATGGCCAAGGAATTGGGTTTTGTCCTGCCCCAGCAGTAGACGCAGGTCTGCCGGGGCCAATCTCAGAATCAGTATCGGACTTTTCGTCATCGTCATATGTAGACAGTCAATTTAGTTTTGAATTTGGTAGTACTGGTACACCCAATAAAAATAACTTATCTACAATGACGACCCGAGCTGAGAAAAAACCTGTGGGATATGAACCAAACACACCTGAATGGGTGGCGCAGCGTTTACAAATGGACAAACTCCCTATGGCTATAGGAATCCTTAGAGCCTGGATGCCTGAAAGTCGTGTCAGAGAAGCATCGGAAGAAACGGTATTGGCTATACGAAATCTGAGTCATGCAACCGCAACTGAAGCAGTTACCAATCTCAAAAGTCGTAAGAGATTCGTCCGAGGTACCTGAGGACGTGAGCTAAAGTTGCGAACCACTATTGAGAATATCGACAATGGTGTACAGATTGAAACAGAAGCCCTCCTAGACAGCGGAGCCACAGGGTCCTGTATCAATAAGGATTTTGTAGAACAGCACCAGCTCACTGTTAAGGAGTTACCAGTCAAAATGCCGGTCTATAACGCCGATGGCACTCTGAACAAAAATGGTTCCATAGAAGGCTATGTACAAGTCCGAATGGTGATAGGAGATCATGCCGAACGGATAGATATGGCAGTTACCAATCTAGGCAAGACAGATATCTTTCTAGGCATAGACTGGCTATGTTACCATAATCCTAGCATTGATTGGAAGGAATCTACGTTAACGTTCGAACGTTGTCCTGACAAATGCGGGTATTTGCCACATTATGAATCACCTGAGGATGATGGTACAGAGGAAAAACTTGTCGATGGTGAAAGGATCTTCTGGTTCGATTGGGATGGGTATCTTTCTGACCAAGGCCATATCAAAGTACAAACTGCCACTACAGATGCCGCTACTCCGTACCTTGCCGAGTATGCTGATGTATTTAGTAAAAAAGACTTTGACCAAATGCCAGAAAGACGTCCATGGGATCATGCCATAGAGTTAACACCAGGCTCCAAACCAGTTGACTGTAAAGTCTATCCCCTCAGTCCACCGGCACAGAAGGCTTTAGATGAATTCCTAGAGGAAAACCTTAGATCGGGATGAATACGACCATCACGCTCACCCATGGCTTCACCTTTCTTCTTTGTCAAAAAGAAAGATGGAACACTACGGCCTGTACAGGATTATCGAAAGCTAAATGACATGACTGTCAAGAATCGATATCCACTCCCGTTAATCCAGGAACTCATTGATAAACTGAAGAATTCCAAGATCTTTACCAAAATGGATGTCCGATGGGGATTTAATAACATCCGGATCAAAGAAGGAGATGAATGGAAGGCAGCATTCCGAACAAACAGAGGCTTGTTCGAGCCCACAGTTATGTTTTTCGGACTTACAAACTCACCCGCCACGTTCCAAGCATTCATGAATCACATCCTTCGAGAGCTCATTGATCAAGGACACGTCATTGTCTATATGGATGATATCCTTATCTTCACGGACAACATTGAGGAACATCGGATCATCGTCAGAAAGGTTCTTGACATCCTAAAAGCCAACAAACTGTACTTGAAACCTGAAAAGTGCACCTTTGAGGCTAGGGAAGTTGAATATCTTGGAATCATTGTAGGCAATGGACAAATCCAGATGGACCCAAAAAAGGTTGAAGCAGTTCGAACCTGGCAGCCACCACAGAAAAAGCGCGAACTACAATCGTTCCTAGGGTTTTGCAACTTCTTCCGCCGGTTCATCCGAGATTTCAGTAAAATTGCCAAACCCCTAACACGGCTCACAGGGAATGCGACTTGGGAATGGACATCTCTTGAACAAGATGCGTTCAATCAACTGAAAGACTGGATCATCAAAGACGTCACTCTCATTATCCCAAGAGAGACTGGAAAGTTCCGGATTGAAGCTGATTCTTCCGATTACGCAAATGGTGCTGTCTTATCACAAAACGTCGACGGAAAGTGGAGACCAGTAGCCTTCAGATCCAGGTCACTTAACGAGGTTGAACGGAATTATGAAATTTATGACAAGGAGATGATGGCCATAATGGATTCTCTATCAGACTGGAGACAGTATTTGCTGGGTGCAAAAGAACCTGTTGAAGTCTTTACCGATCACCAGAATCTCCAGTATTTCCGGAAACCTCAGAAGTTGAATCGACGACAAGCCAGATGGGTAGTTGAAATTGCTGAATACCATATTGAGCTCTTCCATAAGCCTGGGAAATCGATGGGAAAAGCCGATGCTCTGTCAAGGATGTCAGGCCTTGAGAAAGGGGAGAATGACAATACCGACGTCACACTGCTAAAACCAGAATTTTTCATTTCTCAAGTAACGGATCAGACATCTGCCCCCGAAGACAATCTGCTTAATCTCATCCGAAGGAAGAAAAACCAGCGAGACAAGTTAGTACAGGTTGCCCTCGAGTCTAAAGACAAGGAATGGCTTGAAACTGAGGATGGACTAGCAGTTTGGCAAGGACGTATCTATGTCCCCAAGGACAAAGAGCTCAGAGGACGAATCATACAGGCACATCATGACGCCCAGACAGCAGGACACCCTGGCCGCTATAAAACT